CAGTAGATCTCTGAGCTCAGTATTACAATCAAAATCAGCAAAACAATTTGCAAAAATGAAACAGTGATTATTCATAAAATTAAAACGGGAATTTGAACTTCATGCAATTTTCCACTCTTCTCATTCACCGAGTCTTCAATATAAAGACTAAAATTTCGTCCAAAAGTGAAATATTCGCTAGAGAAATGACATTCACCTTTTCCCTGTCAAGCATATGAGAACACGTTTCAAGTAGTATCCATACCCCCCACTGTGAAAGGGTTTTTTGATTTAACCCCCTTCCCCACCCCTACAGAAATTCAGTTTTGCATTGTACATTCCTTCTGAAGGAAGGCCTTTCAAACCCTCCCTCCCCTTCAGAATTTCCAATGACCTCAAGTGGGGTGGGTGTGGTAATTATTGTCTGGAGCAGCATGATTTGACTCTCAGTTTCTTAACATTGTAAAATTAGGGTTTTTTAGTTAAACATCAGTTTAGCCTTGCTGGTTGAATAAAAAATATTTTATTTTTCATTTTATAGATGACCGTCATAGCTATATATTGAATGAGACTGATAAATTTATTGCTTTAAGCACCTGGTAATAACTAGATTTAATCGGCATTGATTTTCAGAGATAGATTACTGAAGGAACAAAATAAATTTAATTAACTTTCAAATTTACTTAAATGCCTTGTTGAGGTTGCAAGATGTTTAATATGTAGCTGGTTGCGATACAGGCAATTTTAATGAGAACTTTGCTCTGTGTCTAATATTACATTACTGGTACCTTAGATTATTGACTTAACAAAAATTTTTAATAAATAATAATTATTTGCTAAAAAATTATTAACAATCACCTGATTATCTTCCTCTGATCTCTCTGTCTTCTGAATAAACAAACCAAGTTTGACTTTTTAAAAATGTGATCTAACATTAACAGCTTTGTATCTGCTTGGCAAAGTGTGAGATAAGTCTAGGATTGCATGCTGATGAGATGCATGACCTTCATGATAAGTATCACAAAGTGTCCTCATTTGTAAAAGGTCATCAAAACACACAAAATTTGGTCAAGTAGAAAGTCAGGGTTGCCACCCATGGGAACAAAAAAATTCCGACTTTTCCTTGACCTTGAATAAAATCTAATTTTCCCTGATTTTTCCCTGACTGTGGCAACCCTGGAAGTAATATGAAAAGGACACTTTGTGATGCTTCTCATAAAGAGCATACATCTCATACGTTTGCACTCCAGGACTAAGTGTCATATTATACCAGTTATGGTTTGAATAATTTTGTTAGTCAGAATTTTTTTTTTCTTTCTTTCTTTTTTTTTCAGTTGAACCTGATTTGTTACAGGTCCATTGCTAAACTGCTAAATGTATTTTTTTACAGCTCTGAAAAAAATTTACATTTCACACAATGGCCTCCAAGAAACAATGCATTATTTGCAAGGAAGATGAGCCAATCCTTTAAGAAAATGCCATCAACACTTTACAATAATTATGTATACTAAATAATTCAAATTATTGTTAATTCTGGCTTATCAACAATATT